ATGTCTCATTGTGGGGCCAGCCATGTGGTCCTCTCTGTGGACTGGCTGCTCTAATTGGGAACATCGTCCTCATGGCCTGGTGGCCAGGATGTGCTCCGCTCTCTCCTCCTCCCACTTCATCTGTTCCCATGTGCTCTGATCGGATATGTCCCTCTCCCGGAGCTGCAGATTCAATGCTTTCCTTTGAAATAAATTCTTCTGGGGGGTGTCCACGTAGTAGTTGGGAATGGGACTGGCCCCCCAGACCTCTCCACTGGTTCCCTACTCCACGCCAATATGTTACATTCACATCTTGGAGCACTGGGCTGAAGTCTGGTCCCTCTTTCCCTGTGGAGATGTAAACAATACCCTCCCCTGGGGTGGGTTAGTGCCCTGTGCCCCCGCTACCCATTTCTTTTTTATTATTATTTTTTCCTTTCCCCTCCTCCTTTTTAGTTGTCTACCATGTGTATCCCTGTATTTGGTCTGGTCTCTGCCGTATTACCTGGTCAGGGAAGAGAAAATCTTACTGTTCTCACACATAGCACTGGTGGTTTCAAACAGCGGGCCCTGTGGAACAAAGCCCAACTTATTGCCACTTGACTGATCCCCAGGGTTCCACCTTGACAAGACCACATGGGCTCAAATAGACCACAGCAACCCAAAAGAGGAAATAGGAAACCTTGAGTGGTAGTGAGTTTGTCAGCTGTGGGGGAACAACTTGAGAAAGGAGAATGGAGATGTTCGCACAACTTGAAGAATACAATGTCACTGAATTGTACATGGATACGTTATTGAACACGAGTATGCTTTGCTGTATACATAGAAATGGAAATATGGAAAAATTCACGGTGGATTCAGAGGATAGGCCATGACATATATAACTGCCAACATCAGATGGATCTTGGCTGAAAACAGAATCAACAAAAAAGAGGTTTGCATTTTGTCAATGCAAAGGCGTTTGACAGTGTGGATCGTAACAAGTTCTGGAGAAGATCGCCAAGCCTGGGCGTGCCAGAGCCAGGCACTGAACTCACGCAGAACCTGTACATAGAGCAAGAGGCAGTTGTTTCCCCGTGTAGAAAGCACTGCCCAACCCGGCTTTGTGGGCGGGCCTGTTGGCTGCACAGGGGCCTTGGAACCTGACTGTGACAAGGGACCTTGGTGATTTGAGTTCTGGAGGCAGAAGGCCTGAATGGCAGTCCCTCTCTGTCCCTCTGGAACTGGAAGCTCACTAGCTGTTGTCGCTGAATCGAGCATCATCTGAAGCTATGGGCAGTCATGGTACCGACCTCCTATAGCTGGAGGAAGTAGTGTGCTGAATCATATGAAGCACGCGTAGAAGTTCATTACTTTTGCTGTTACTGGGAAGCTTATCAGAGTTCACATAGCACTGCCTCTAGTCCTACGCTTTTCAAACCAGGCACCAGAATTACCCCCTGGAGATCCAGATTCAGTTGATCGGGGTTGGCTTGGGATTTTGCCTTTCAACCAGGCCCCCGGTTGCCCCCGGCCCTTGCTTTTTCAGCTGGCCTAGCCCCTTGGAAATATCCTTTTTGTGGGAAAAGGGTGCCTGGCTGCTCACACTGGCAGGCCTCTCTAGTCTATTGACACGAAACCCCCGAAGCCTAGCACTTCCAGGCAATTCTCAATATTTGTCTCAAGGCAGGAGAGCATAGCTGTCGGGGAGAGGGGTGTTTCAGCCTTTAGGATGTCCCAGAACTCCTTGGGCAGATGATAAAAATGCAGATTTGGCATTTCCAGCAATCGCCCCACCCCCACCCCCACACATATAGACTGTGTTTCAGTCTGGGGGTGGGACTCAAATCATCTTCCTCTTGCCCAACTGCCCACGAGCTCCCCCTGAAGGTAAGAGTGGTCACTCTCTGATCTGTGGGGCCAGGATTCCCTTAGAGCTGGAGAAACCAGTGAGTCATGTTCTCTGTGGCCTTGGCGCCCTCTCCCAATCTCGCTTCCTTATCTGAAAAATGAGCTGCTTAATGCCAGCGATGCCCTCCCCCAGGAGCACAACATAAGGATCTGTGTGTGAAGGGCCACTAAAGTGACCGTCACCGACTCTGGAGTCCAAAGGTATGACCTGCTGTATTTATCTATAGCTTATACCCAGTGAGCCAGTGACCTCGTATCTCTGCTAATGGCAGGGGGGAAAGCAAACAAAAAAAAAAACACCTTCCGTGGGGAAAATCTATCGCAAACTCTGACCCTGGCCAGTTTTAAACAAACCTCGGTCTTGAAAAACACCAACGGGTTTCACCGGATGCTCTGCTCTCCCCCGAACTGGGCCCTTCCTCCTGTGTTGGCTCTTCCCCTGGAGATGAGCAGGTTCTGCCAAGAGGACCAACCCAGACTGTCCTGTGGGGCTCCCAGACGGCACAGCCGGCCCTTGGCACTGGCATCCCCGTGGTGCCCCTGTGGCCACTGGCTGCATGGCCCCTGGACTTGGCCTTCGGGCCTCTCTCCCCTTGGCCTTCTCATAGCCAACCCTCTTGAGTCTTTACTGAGGGCTCTCAACAGTTACCCCACCGAGGTTTTCCCAGTTCCGATGGCCGCCTCTAATAACCTGGCTAGACCTCCCTTCCCCGGCCGTGGTTGGTGAACCTGCTCAGGCGCCTTATTGAATGTGTGACCTCCTGGGTTTGATCACCATTGACCCCTTTTTTCCATCAACTGGCTCAACCTCTGTCTCTTCTTACTAGCGGGGTGGGAAGAGGGATCGTTCTCACCATGTCCTGCTCTGGCTTGGTAGGAAAATCCTGTGCTCTGTATCCTCGTGGGGTAACTTGCTGGTATCCATGGCCCGCTCCCGTCTCAGCCAAGCCTGGCTCTCCAGACGAGTGATTGCGGCTGGAAACGTACACAAACCCACTCGGCACCTTGGCTGACTCCCGCCTTGCCCTGAGGAGTGAGCAGAGACCCACCGCCCTGCTCCCCACCACGGGTGAGGGAAAGCGGTGGATACAAGGAAGTGTGGGGAATGGGGCTGGGCACCTCCAGATCTGAACCGTGTTATCTCTCAGCTACCACCCGCCTGTCGGCTTGTGGCATGATGGCGGCTGACAGCTGTCACCAGCGTTTCAAACACCAGCAGGGTCACCCATGGTGGGCAGGCTTCAGTGGCGCTGCCAGGCTCAGACAGACCAGAAAACAAGGCTTTGTGAGGGTTACTTCCGAAATGTGGGCCACTGAAAACCTGGCGCAACTCGAAGAACGTAATCAAGGTCACTGCATTGTAGCATCTGCTGGATTTGGTGTAGGGGCTGTTGGCTATAGTCTCCATGACAATAAATGAAAAAAAAATATATATATATATATATTTTTTATATATATATGTATATATATATACATATATATATATTAAAGAGAGAGGATCCGATGGTTCACAACTGAACACTGCCATATCGTGCCGAAAGATGAAGCCTAGCGGGAAAAACTCTGAAGATGCAGTCGCCGCCCCCATGGGCTTTGAGCATGCCAGCATGGGGGAGGCACGGGCCAGGCGCTGCTTCTAGTGGCTGCGCGTGGTGGGGTGGCCGGGGGTCAGAGCCAATGGACAGCAACACCACGCTCTTAGATGAGCGCTTGCTTAGCTCGGGCCTGGTCTGGGAGGAAGACAAAGGTTTCTTCTGCCCTGATGTGAGGCTCTGCTGTGTGAGTTCAGACCAGTTGGGACCACGGTCTCAAGACCCAGAGGACCTGGGAGGGCACTCAGGAGATGTGGCCTGCAATCCAGCAGGAGAAGTGGGGGCCGCCTGTGTGCGCCCACCTCCCTGCTATGGGGCCTCCATGCCTTCAGCTGGACCCCTGTCCCCTCTGTGTCAGCCTGCCATGAAATGACCCCCAGGGACAGTGGGTGCACTGGCAGGTCCCAGGGGCTGTCTCTCTGGGTAGGAGTTCCCTCACTCTCTTGATGGCAAACCTGGGGGTGCAGTGACCTGTCCAGGCCTTTGCTCCCCTCCACTCCCACCCCCCACACACATACAGCCAGCATAAAGGTGGAGAAGCCTCTTCAAACTCGTTTTTATTTTCTAAGGGGCTTGGGGGTGGGGCAGGGGACGTATACTTGGGTTTGGGGAGGAGCCCTGACCTTGGGGCACCCTGTGCCAGCCCCTAGTAGGGGTGCTCCAGGGCATGCGCCATGATGGTAAGCACAGCCATCCATGTCTCCTGGGCAGTGGGGACAATCTGAGAGGCCGGCAGCAGGAAGCCGTAGTGCCCAGTGTCCCGGAGTTCAAAGCTGAAGGCGTATTTGATGCCACTGTCGTAGGCCCAGTCTACCGTGATGCCGCTGGCCACATCTGGAAGCAAGCAGGCCAACAAATGTCCCCCCGAGGGAAGACAGGGCATGGCCACAGAGAACAGAGGCCTGCTGAGTGAGCCCTGGGCCCTGGGACCAAAACCCCACCCACCTCAGGCCACATCAAGCTTCCCGGCCCAGGCCCGCCTGCCCTCCCCAGTTGAGGCCCCACCCATTCATTCACCACCCCATGTGGGAAGAAACTCCTAGGGGCATCAGACTTGGGGTCTTAGCTGTTAGGCAGGTGTTGGGTGCTGTTCACTAAAGCTGTAGAGGAATCACTTCCTGGGGTCCCCATCATTCACCCAGGTACCCAGGTATAGGAGTCCACTCAGGGTCAGCCCGGCTAGGGGTGTCTGGTGGCATCTCAGCACCTACATCTGCCTGACCCAGGTGAGCGGGAGGTCTGAAGCCCCAGGAGAAGGCTGACTCACAGAGGGTGGTGCTGATGCTGCCGTAGATGTACTCGACCCCATGGACCTCGTACAGGGCCTTCACGGCGTCCTTGGCCAGAAGGAACTGCAGGGTTAGATGCAGATGGTGATATACCAGGGTCTAAGGCAGCCCCCCATGCCACACCCTCACCAGCTGGGGAGAGGCCCACAAGTCGGGTGTCCAGGTGACTCTCATGAGGAGGGAGCAGAGTGCCTCTGGCTTTGGACTTGACCCTACAGGAACCCAGCAAGCCCCTTCCACCCTCTCCTGGAGTCCTGCTTGATCTCGGCAGGGCCTTTGGCTTTTCTAAGCTCTGGGCCGCCCGTCAGGGAAGGGTGTTGTGCTTAAATCTGTCATGGGTCTAGCCAACCAGTGGCTGTTGCATTGATTCTGATTCCCCGGTTGCAGGATAGGACCTGCTCCGCCAGACCTCATGGCCATGACCTTTGGATAGCAGATAGCCAGTCCCGTCTTCCAAGGTGCCTCTGAGGGAGATTGAATCCCTGGCCTTTGGGCACACACACATACACACACACACACACACACAAACACACACACACACACACACACACACACACACACACGGACTCTCCTGAGGTCTGTTTACAGCAGTGGTTCTCAACCTTCCTAATGCCGCGACCCTTTAATACAGTTCCTCATGTTGTGGTGACCCCCACCCCAACCATAAAATTATTTTCATTGCTACCTCATCACTGCTAATTTTGCTACTGCTTTGAATCGGGGGACCCCTGTGAAAGGGTCGTTGGACCCCCAAAGGGGTCGCGACCCAAAGGTTGAGAACCACCGCTGATTTACAGCATGAGCCTGAACTCTGCCAGGTGCGGATGTTCCTGGATGCACGGGTCTCCTTAATCTCACCAACTCCTCCTGGTTGGACACCGCCTCCAGTGTGTAGCCGTAAGGGTACATGAGCATCTGAGAGTAGCTGTGGATGGAGATCAGGACCTTGATCTTGCCGTGGGCCGTGATGAACTTCACAATGGCAGCCACCTCTGGCTCTGACTGAGCAAAGGGTCCCCGGTAAGTCTCTGAGCAGGGGTTTTTGCTAGAACCACTTCCTGGAAGTGAAATAGAACCCCACCCCCCCCAGAGAGTTAGATTCCCCGGGTGTAGCCGAGACACCGAGGGCTCCCCAAACAGCCACATGTGCCTCTGCATTTCCCAGCCTCCCTTGCAGTTTGGCTGAGGCCATAGGCTCTGTTCTGACCCTTGAGAAGGGGAGCGGAAATGATGACGTATCACTTCGGGCCAGAAGCTGTTAAGAAAAACCAAACCAGCCCTGGTGGCTTCAGTTCCCACACCCGGCAACCCACGCACGTGCAACAGACGGTGCCACTGGGTTGGTTCCATGGCTGATTTGGGGCAAGTAGGTCCCCAGGTCTTTCTTCACAGACTTGAACCCCCCAAGCTTTTAGCAGCCGAGCACGTCGTGGACCTTCTCTTCTATGTGGCTGGTTGTGGCAAACTCGGGGGGACGGGGGGGACGGGTGGATGGAAGCATCCTGAGTCCTTCCGCCATGGTTGGAAGAGAGCTGCTGTGGACAGCCACCTGCCCACGCGGGGCCTGGCATGCTGCGCACGGAAAAAGAGATGTGTTGTGCAAAGCCCATATTGGGGGGGAGGGGGTGTTATGACAGACGGAGGACTTGTTGGGGGGCCCAAATAGTTAACGCCCAAAACTTGGAGGTTCAAAACTACCCAGGGACCCCTGGAGAGGAGGAGTTGGCGATCTCCTTTTGGGAAACCAGCCACCAAAAAAGCCCTCCGCCGGAGCCCCGTGCTGCCCTGATGCAGGTGGGGTGGCATGAGTTGGGCTTGCAGGCGACCCTTCTTTTGTTACCTCAGCAGCCCCTGGTCTAATACAGCAGGGAGCTGACCCTTCCCGGAAGCAGCAGCTCCACAGCTGCCCAGAGCTCCCCCAGGCCTCCTTCGGTGAACTCGGGCTCATGGTTCCATCAGGGAGACACGCCGGCCTTGGCCTCGGAAGGCCCATCCAGGAGAAAACAGGTCTCTCTCACCCACCGCGCTGGGCTTCTCCCTCGGGGCCCTGACTGCACTGCTGTGGGCACGGCTCAGCTTTGCTGGGAACAGAGAGCTCAGACCTCGTATCTGCTTTAGCTCGGTCACCGAGGTAGCCCGAGGAACTCCCTGGGCTGGGGGTAGGGACCAAAGAGAGAATAGACCCCCAGAATGGTCCAAGGTCGGTCTGAGAGCCACACATGCCAAGGATTCTTTGAAACTTCTTCTTGTGGCCTTGAGTGGGTCCCGTTTTCTAATTTCTTTCCACAACGGTCATTTGATCCCATCCCCTCCGAGGCTCTCTGGTGGACGCTTCTACTCTTCCTCATTCGTCCTGGGCTAAGGGCGTATGGAGAGGACTGGGCCGGCCCATGCTGGACCCGTCAAGGGTTGCAGGTTCGTGCCATATTTGGAAAGAGCCAGTCCAGCTCTCCCCCTGTCTCCCCCTCTTTGAAACAGCAGCACCCAAGCCTGGCCAAGAGGTCAGGGTCACCCCAAGTCCAGAAGCCACCTGAGGGTACCACCTCCCGGGGAAGCAGCTGTGCGGCAGAGGGGCTGCTTCCCCAAACGCATCCTTCCCCAGAGTGCAGACGAGGGCACGCACAGGTGGGGGAGCGGAGTGGCCGACAGATTACTCATTAGGCAGCAATTAAATTAAGGCATTCATAAAACCATAAACAAAATCTTCCGCCTGAATCATCGGCCTAGACACCTGCTATTTCTGGCCGCGGGCAGTCCCGGAGGCAGCTCTGTCACCGGGGAGCAGAGAGGGTGCCACCGTGCTTGGATGGGGCTGTGCCTGCCAGGAGCCAGCGGGTGAGGAGCAGGCCCATGGGTGGAGTGGGCCCAGCACACAGGGGCCCTGTTTGTTGTGTCTGCCGGGTGCTCACGCACCTGCCACACTTGATGAATGACAAATAGCAGCAGATGAGCCACGAGGAGGCTGAAAGCAGCCACGCTCGCCGAGCGGTTCCCCTGCCAACCAACGGCCAGGTGGCTTTGCCCAAATATGGAGAAACGCTTGAGGCCATTCGTTCTGGTTTGAGCGGAGCAGAATAAACTAATCTTCTCAAGACCAAATGGGAATTGGTGGCCGCCTCTCTGTGGCTCCCAGCCCAGATCCTCGGGAGCCTGCCTGTTTCACGAGGAGCTGCTAATGGATTCCATCGCTATTTATTTTTCCTTCTCTAAAAAATGTAATTTGGAGCACGGGGACATCTTCGGGAACGCATAGTGAATTATTCAATGCAGTAATCTGTGGGTAGTGGCTTTGGGGAGCTTGGTGTCTCCTCCGAGGTGCGTTTTGTTAATTCTCTCTGTACCCTCTGCCCCCTTCCCCAGCCCCAACCGTGCATCTACTCCTCCCCCCACCCCACCCCCACCGCACCGTGGAAAAGCCCATAAACATTCTTTTAAGTGTTCATCCATCTTTCTCCTCAGGGGCCCTGAGAACTCACTTTAGTCAGGCCTGGGGTCCACGTGGGCACCCACCTAGGACAGGTGACTGGTCACCTGGAGGTAGCTGTGTTGCCTGACACAGCTGTCACACACAGCCCCAGACCCTCCCTCGCCTCACACACTGTGGGCTGGGGGTTGTGTCATCAGCATTTTCCAGGAGAAACGATCCAAAGAAGGCAGTTATTCAAAGTCGTGGCTGCCCAAGTCCAGAAGGGTCTATCTCCTGGGTTTGTGCACCGGGCTACAGACCTAATTTTCAACCGCCGTGGGGCTGTGCCCCGTGGAGACAGATCTTGATGCCCCACTGTCATGTGGTTGCCACTTTGGGGGCCCCCAGGACTGTGTCCATGGGGTCACTGGACCATCTGGGGCCTCAGTCCTGGGCAGACCCAGCATTCTATGCAGTAAACTGCTGCAGGCCCAGGGCCCAGGGCCCGATTCCGAGCTTTCTACAGGCCTCTGTTTGCCCATCTCATCCCAGTGCCCCAGTGTGATGAGAACTGCAGTCAAAGGGCCATGACGGAGCCCAGGAGGAAGCTTCCCCCTCATGCTGGGATCACACAACCATGCAGACAGACACCAGAGTGGAGACTCCAAGCAAGGGCACCAAAAAGATAAGCCAGGCGGTGTGAGACCTTCTCCATAATAAGGCTCCTTCTACATCTGATGGATTTCTCTGGCTGTCCCAAGGGCAAATGGCAGGTCGTAGCTCTTGGGAATGAGTCCAGGGGCCTTTTAGCTCCCACATAAGCTTGGGGCCACCATAAACTCCGGGTATTGATCAGCCAACAAGAGTCCCTGGCACTTCTCCAAGCCTTTCTCGGCCACAGTCAGGGTTCAACCCTTGTGGTCTGTCCCCGTGTCTGGAGCTGCAGGCTCCCTGCCGGGCTTTGCATGAAAGTACGGCGTATGAACGCTCCGTGTCACCTCTCTCTCCATGTCACAGCCACTACTAGCCACAGGCTGGCCTGTCCCTGGCCAGTGCCCACTCGACTCAGCTCACAGCTCTGCCCCGGGATGCCAAGTTATGAATCCATGTCATTGGACCCCCATGGGAGAACCTGCCTAGGGCTGTCCCTGGGGCCAGCGGGTCCCCGTACCTCCAAACCCTGTCTTCCAGTTCCTGTTGAGATCGACGCCGATGCAGAAGACGCCAGGTCTGAAGGACTTGTTCTTCCGCCACAGGCGGTTCTGAGAAAGCCCAGGGCAGAAGGCCTCCTTAACTGGGCCCAGCCCCGGTGGCCGCCTCTCCCGGAGGTCCTGGCCTACGGAGAGGGCTGGTGGGGCAGCAAGCCCTAGGATGGGAGGAGCGCTCTAGGGGGGACCGGGCCAAGGCTGGAGATCAGCTACTTTGGGGGGTGGTTTGGGGTCTGCGGTGAGTCAGGTTCTGGGTGGTGGGGAGAGGCCTCAGTGGAAGCTGCCATACGGATTCCCTGAGCAGCAGGAGGGAACGGGCAAGAAGCCCCAGCCTCTGAGCTGTCCTCCTGGCCCTCAGGGGTGCTCTCAGGAAGGATCCCCTGAAGGTCCAGCCCCCAGAGCTCTGGCCTCAATAGCCTCCCCTCCCTCACCCAAGGTTGGCCCTCTCTCAGTAGCCTCACCATGCTGTGTGTAAATGCAAACCCATCGGGGTTGGTCACAATCTCCATGAAGATGTCCATGGCGTCCAGGATGGCCGTCAGGGTTTTGTCCTTGCCATATATACTGACAATCTGCACGAAAGGAGGGGCGGGCCCTGCTGCCACCTGGGAGGTACCCCAGGACATCTGCACAGATGGGGCTGCCGGAAGGGGTAACACTAAGCTGCAAGGACATCCTTCCTGCCCAGGCAAAGGCCTGGCCCCCCAACATGGAGAAGGCCAGGGAGCCTG